ACTCCAGGATCTCGGCGTCTTCAACCAGGACCGTGTTCACAGTGTCCAGACTGTTGTGTCGACTGTGCATCGAGTCGGTTAAATGCCAGTAATTCGCCCCATGTGCATCCGAGCAGCACAGCGACGCACTGGAAGATCTGAAGGAGTCGGCGGCTCCACCATAACCTGAGTCTAGCGTCAAATCCTCCAGGGTCCTCGCTGCTGACTTGCTACTCCGTGCCATGACTGCACTTCATGCTGTAAAGGAGGGCTCGTGGGAAAAGTGGAGAAAAATATTCACGACCACCGGGAGCTCGGAAACGCACGTGTCCGAATAAAACACCTAAACTTGGGTTTGTGGGAAAAGTCCACCCGAGGCTGAAGTTGCAGAGTCTCTCGGCTCTGAGCATCTCAGGGACCCGCACTGTGCTGACAGATGGAGGAGGGGCCGTGCGCAACCGACAACAGCTGTCAGCCAATGGACTCTCGGGATGAAGCAGCAAAGAGTTTTAATTGGATCTCTATAGAGGATCAATAACAGGCTATTGATAAGGCTTACTAATAAATAGGCAGTGTGAACAATGAACACAATGATTGTTTAACTGTCCAGAACCTACTTTTCTAAAAACTTAAATCTTCTTAACTTTGCGACAGAATAAACGCAGAGGTCGTGTCAAGTAAAAGTAAAATGTGTAAAGACAGAAATTGCACTAAAGTACGAATCACGAATCACAATCACAATATAGAAGCAGCTGTTTTTATATAACCATGTTTAAGAGGACAAATCCTCCAGAGTATCAGGCTGTTAAGATATTTTCTGAGGGACCCATGTCTGATGGTAACATGACTCAAGACCATTAATAATAGATAGCATGCATAATGTATCCTTTGCTCCTCCGGTGGAGAACTCATTGAAAAGATCTGAATTACTTTCAAGGTCATTTGTCGTTATCACTACACGGTCTGACCTGGGCTGTATCCATTCAGCTTCTCCCCCTGATCACATACAGGCCTATGCTTTGCCTCAGTGGAAATCTACATAGAGCATTAACTTATATGACGGCCAAGGTGAACATTAGGATAGGTTCGATTAACAATGGCATACATATTCAACAGCAGTGAGGTGTGTGCACTGAAAATAACTACAGTCGTGCCGCAATCCTGAGACAACTAAATGTCTTCAGATCCATGTGTGACACTAAGTCTCAGGAGTGTACGAATCCAAACTGGTGGTTAAAATAATAACTTCATGATCTGAATGTTGCTCATTTTTCTGTCTGTTTACATTTGAGATGCAGTAAAACTGCAGCTTCTGTCTCCGACAGCAGGTTGAATGTCATTCATGAGCAACAGTGAACCCTGGTGTTGTGCGGTGAAACTTGAGTTTACTTGTCAGTGCATGTAAGGCTCCAATTTCGTGTCCCATGAGTGACACCGACTCTAATTGAATAACAAAATGACAAACAGTGCAGAATTAAATTAGATGGGAGAAATCTTGTTTAGTTGATGATTATAATGTCCATAGCAGCAGTTAGCTTGACAATAAAATGCAATTAAAGAGCAGATCTCATGTCTTTACTCACATCAGTGGGAAGATACAGGTTTTATCATTTGTGTTTAAACTTCAATCATCTATATACCAGGAGCATTCCAAAGGACTTTAGGGGCCCCATGTGACAGGGACCCAGGGGCCCTACATCAAACCAACCCACAAATACACCACACCACAACATTCAAATATATAACTGACTCTTTTTAGTATAAAAATGATAAACAAAGGGCATACACATAAAATTGCTTGCAGTAGAGTGCATACCTCCACCAAGGCCCAACAGCCCCTTTATGAAATCACATTAATTTCAGTCCCAAAAATATGGGACAATGATAAAGAAATCCTGGATCTGTGACCTGATCTGGTTCCACACCAAAATTTTGCTTCCTTGGGTCGTCCATCCCTTCAGTAAATGTCATAAACAACAAACAGACGAAAACATAACCTCCTTGGCAGAGATAGGAAAGTCCAAACCCCCACTACCCCCATATCATTGTGGACTAATGTAATTACCATTCTCGGGGGTGCCCTCTATCAGCTCGGGATCCCAGGTAATTGCCTACTCAGTTACAACGCCTCTGTCTCCTACACTGGAGATCTGCATATCCATTAGAAACATATAACAGGTACACATATAGAGAGACTCTCTGAAGGTCATAGGAAGGTCATAGGAATGTCATGGTCACGTGGGAGAGATCCACGCACATGTAACCATGTTCTACCCTACACAGTAAGAGCGACTGCCACACAAATTACTGTCATAAGGCCAGGTCTCTTTCATTTTCACTTATTTTAATCATATTAATGTTTCTCAGTCTCTTTATTGACTGCTCCATCTTTCAATATTGGGCATCAACAATTATTAATTGAAGAATCACTGCTGTGAAGATCACGATTCAAAACTAACCTCCAACGTCTTTTACAGCCCTTTAAAGTCAAGAGGGAAGATTTAATATCACAGTTTCATGTCTATGCTTGGGGTAAATTAGCCCTTCCAGCTGAGTGACTGCTTTAATCATACTTAATTTAGAAGGAGCAGCATGTCAGAGGGAGCACAAGTCAGGATGAGGTCATTTTTTAAAAACAATCCTCATCCTGCAGCCTTGGCTTTCTGCCTAAAGAAAATGCTTCTAATTGCTTGGCCTCAGATGGTCTACAAGTTGTCAACACGCCTCTTGTCTCTGTGGCTGAAAACTGCCATCATCAAGCTCCTCTTTAAAAAAAGCAGAGTTAAGAACGAGCACATCACTGATAGGCCTGTATCAACTCTCCTCTTCTTCAGTAAAATGATTGAAAAAATATATATTTTCCAACAGTCTCTCAAGTATTGTTATGATTTCCTCCAGTCAGAACTTTGACCACAGCACTGAAACTGCTCTTATTATGGATTTGTCTTCAGGTCCGCTGCAACTCCCAGTTTATTTAAATCAAGGCTGAGGACTCATCTTTTAATCTGCACTGTAACTTTTACTCTTTCCACATTTCACCAAATGGTCTGTTTATATATTCTCTTATGTTGCGTTCACATCTTGTCTTGATGCCTTTTATATCTTAACAAAGTTCAATTCATTAATTATTATTAATAATGTGAATACTACGAATCACCTTGCTGTTGAAATGTGTTATACCAGAGTGCCTTGTAGTTAAAATCCATCAGGCGTCTAATTGTAAACCAAGTGACCTGCTTTAAGGCCAGACTATCAGCAGGACCCTAATGCTGGCAATGTTAGATCTGTCCACCACTTTGGTCCAAACTTAAATATCTCAACTACTACTGCGTGGATCTCCAAATAATGTAATGCAGGTATCCATGGTGCCCAAAGGATGTGACTAATTGATTTAGGTGATTTTTCCTTTTGCATCAGGCACTTTTCATTTATCCAGGAAATATCTCAACAACTTTGAAGTAGATTAGCACAACCTCCCCCTCAGGAGGGGTTTGCAGTATCTTAACCACAGCCTACATCAGCTCAAACCTTTAAATTGTCCAATAATATGAAGACATAATACAAATCATATAATGCAACATGTGCTTTACCAGACACTACTTAGTGCTAATGGTATGGTCAGTTGTAGTAATAATATTAAGAACAAGAGGAAATGTTAAAATGTGATAGTTGATTCCAAAACAATTCCTGGTTAAGACTGCCATCTAGTGTTCATAAAAGCTATGCGTTTTCCCCATAAACTATTCCTGGATGAGGCTCACAACTGGGATGCAGCATAGTTAACTCATCACAGCCTTTTTCAATAACTTGTTTAAGACATGAGATTTAAAATATATGCAAATGATCATATTAATAGTATGAGGGCATGGATACAACTGAAGATTAAACTGGAGACTTAAGAAGTCAGAAAACATTGATCGGTAAGTGTTGAACAGTGTCTGTCACAGTAAGAGGCCGTGGAGCCCTGGAAACTAAGCCCAAAGAAACAGCTTGATGTGGGCACATCCACTATAATTTACCCAGGAAGGGAAGGATGTGTGGTCAGGGAGCCACTGAAGACGTCCCTGAAGAAGCTGAAAAAGCTGTTTGGGTTAGAGAGCTGCAGACTTCTCTCCCGTGACTACACCAGGAGTCAATATAGAAAAACCACAACACACACTGTACTGCCTTATGTTAAGCTGTTTACTGTTTGCATTGGTTTCTGGGTCCCAACAGTTTGTTGTAAAACATTATAACTTAAGTAGAAGTTGAAAAGTTTAAGGTTCTCAACAGATTAAAAGCCTGTTCAAGTAGAAACTTACTGTAATATCTTCTGTATACTGTAGCGTGAGACGCACAGGCTGTGGCAATGATACAATGTTGACATCCTGCTCCAGGGTGATACCGTACGTTATTATTCAGCACAGTTGTCTTTTGTCAGAGTCTGTCTTTTCTGTGAAAGAACAAGAACAGACAATTTAGGGTTTTTTAAAAAAAAATAAAGCGCCTTTCAAATAGGAAAGAAAAAGGTAATGTCCAGTGATGGAGTAGTGAACCGACGTGTTGCCTTAGGTTTTGTGAAAGTTAAAAAATAAAAAATAAAGTAATTTGATCAAACACTTTATAAGACATGGCCCATTCGACAGAGGATGGATAGTTGCTATTGTACCTCGAATATATATATATATATATATATAAGGGCAAAACAATAATAATAGCTAATATTATTGTTGTTGAGTGCAATTAGTGACCGCTTCTCTTGCTGAATTAATTAAACAACATAGATTTAAAGTCATACTTTAATACTTCACACTGCTGATCGGTGTGGGCGGGGTTGTAGACGTTCTAACCACACACGCTGTCACAGTGTGAGCGGTGTGTCCCCTGTGGTAAAACGAGCAAACCCCATGCCTCGCCGTGCCGCATGTGCTCATCCGGGTCCTTCAGTGTGCGACACACAACAAACCCCCCCACCACCACCACCTTCAATATGTCCGACATGTTTACGGGTCCGTTTTTAATCTAGAGAGAACCCTGAGTGGAGACATCAAGAAGCAACGAGCGGACATTGACGTTACTGAGATTTTTTAACGAAGGCGCAGACGACGTGAGAGAGGACGCAAGAAAACACGTTACGGAAACGTGACTGGGATAAAGTTGCATAATGGCGGGATCTGACCAATCAGAGCGCTCCGTTCCTCCCCACGCGTCCCCGTGGGCGGACATGTTGACACCGACAGGACGTCACGCGTGGCCGACGACTTCAGCAGGTACGAGAAATAACTCGTTTCAAAGTGTTCCAGGTTTAGAGCGAAGGTGGAATTTGCGTGAGCGTGCGGAAACAAACCGGAAGTATTCTCGTTACGCGGGGTTCACGCAGACGAAAGTTAGAAGTTAGGCCGGAAATGTTTGTATTCTGAACTCAATTACGTAACATTGCTTGCGTTGCTAGTCGACGAGAAGCGGGAGTTTGTCTGTTGTGTCTGCGTTTGTCTGTGGTTTTTGCGTTTGTCTGTGGTTTTTGCGTTTGTTTGTTGTTTTTGCGTTTGTTTGTTGTTCTTGTGTGGCTGTCCACACACGCAGAACCAGTAACGCCCGTTCTGTGGATACGTTCATGTTATGAATGTAAATAAACCCGTCAACGCTTCTTCACATTCCCACAAACCACGTTAAGAAAACATTACTCTGTCCTCAGGCGGTAATGGACACTTGACTATTTGTTTTACAGTGTCAACGCAAGAGGGCGCCTTTTTGTTGTTTGTGTGCGCGAGGGAACCCCACCTGTGATAAACCAGCAGAACGACATGGTGGTCAACTCCATCCACTGGTTCCGGAAGGGACTGCGGCTACACGACAACCCGTCCCTGAGGGACTCCATCCGCGGAGCCGACACCCTGCGCTGCATCTACATCCTGGACCCCTGGTTCGCAGGCTCCTCCAACGTGGGCATCAACAGGTGGAGGTAAGGGGCGGGACGGGGCAGTCACAGGTTTGTGGGATGGGGGTGTGACACGTGGGTGGAGGGCTCATGTTTGAGATGAGTTAAAGGTCCAGTGGGTAAGATTTAGGTGAAGGAGATCTATTGGCTGAGATTGAATATAAAATTATATTGTAATGTTTTCACTAAAATAATCTACATTAGAAGGTTTTACAAACGTAGATATAGACAGCCAGAGTCTATTTATTTGAAGTATTTTTATTGGGTGGACACATCCTGCATTTCAAATATGTATATTATACACTAAGTCTTTGTGAAGAGGTGTACATTGACGACTGGGCAGCAGGTGTCAATGTACACCTCTTCACTGTCCACAGTGTCCTTTCTGATGGCCTTTCATTTTTCAATACATTAATTTGCTTTCATCTCAGTATTACGCTTTGGTACAGGGTTTGTGTTGAATGAAAACTGGCATCAATCGATATTGAGTGGATGATCCAAAGGTGGTTTTGAAGTAGTGATAAAGACCTGGACCAATTACAACTACTTTACTGTGTTTGGTGCAGTACTAGTTTTAAATGGATATTGATTATTGCTAAATTGTTTAATGGCAATGATTTCAACAATATTTTCTTGTCTCATTGATCTCTCTAAGTCCTTTGCATTACAAGTCAAATTGACCTGTTCACAAACACATTCATACACTGATTGTATACAGAGCATTTAATCTTTCACACACTGTCAATATAGCTATCAAGGGGAATTTGGGGGTTCTGTGTCTTGCCCCAGGACTCTGAAGTATGTGGACCTCTGACCTTGTGGTCTGTGGATGACCTGCTCCACTTTCTTCATTGCATAAGAATCCACAGACTGTGATTAGTTTGATGTCTTCAGTTGTATTATCTCTTTGAGTGTGTCTGTGAAATCAACCTTTAACATGATAAGCCACAGCTGCAGATAATGAGGCACCCCACTGCACAAGTGAAACGAATCAGTCAGTGTGTTACATCACGCCCTCTCACAGTTCTGACCCACATATTCACCAGACCCCCCTAACACTACCCCCCCTTTTGTCCACAACACCACCTCATTTCCTGTTTCTGGCTCTTCAAATGCGTAGATCCACTTCATACAGACATGCAGCTATAACTGTGAGCACGGTTCAGCTTTTCTAAGTTTACTGATTGTCCGTATAACTGTTACGTTTCTGTACAAACACTCTTCTGTTAAAAAACTGTGAGCGGAAAAAATAATGTTATGATTACCTGTTATAATCTCAAGATAGTAGAATATTAGCATGACAGTTTATTCAGTGGTCTGATTGGGAGTCTAAACACCTGCAGATGAGAACAATAGCATATTTTAAGCTGATGATGTGTCCAGGTTTTACCACACATCTCGCCCAATGTCAATGTTAAAATGCAGATTCAATCCCTGCTTTGTATGGATTTTTAATGGTGGATGGTAAAAATGAATAAAACAATTCACCAACGGTGTTGTGTCTATTTTGAAGAAGTTCAGAGTGGTTGTCACAGCGATTGAGATCAGAGAAAAACTTTGACTTAAATGTAGAAGCTTATATCATATAAATAAAAGTTTAATTTGTTTTTCAGCCTCTCTGAGAGAGTTGCTTGTTCTCTTCTGGTGTGACTTGTCATCATGTAGTTGATAATAACATTACAGCTGCAGTTTCTAGAGCTCAGTGTGTGTGTAAAGATTTTATCTGCCCTCTCATATCATGCACTCTTTTACTTTACAAAAGCTTTTTATATACAACATGGTTTATAGTCCATATCAAATGCTATTTGTAATTTCAGTGTTTATCACAGCAGATCTGTTTCTCAAGATAGTGGCAGTGAACGACTGACTTTGTTTACAGATGCATAATACTTGAGTTACTGCAGTGCAAGTTAATGACAGAGTTTATACATTTTAAGTTCATTTAGATGCAATAATGCAGTGATATTGTCGTCGGAACATTTTTGTTCCATTTAAAGGCTGTGTTGTTGAGACATTAATTTACATGGAATATATAGTTATAGTTAATGTTTATGATCAGATTTCACACCATTGCCAAGACCAAATGCATTGTTGTTTTTAACCAATGACTGCAATGCGCTTGCCGTGCCTAGTCTGCCAGAAAATTAAAGAAGAAGAATCAAAACAAATCCAGATCTATATCTTGTTGTGTTCCAAGCCAACAAAATTGCCCAAGATATATTTTGCACTCATCATATATCTCTACTGGCTTTTTGGAAATGTCACACAAAGTGGCCAGAGGACATCAGTTGGTTACGTGGCCACTCTGAACTTTACTTGGAGTGATTGGATCTCAGTGTGTCCCGTTCACACCTGTTTTTAAATCTGTTCACTTCTTATCGAATCACCCATGAACCTAATATGTTAATCTGGTCATGGAAGGTTTCACACAGACATTACGACTCCAAAGAAGCTTGACCTGTGTGATGTGCGGGCACACACGCACACAGTCTTTGTGTAGCAGTGGTTGTAGACCTCAAAATAATTTTCAAGTCAGCTACACTTATGATTGATGGTCTCATGATCTCATGGTTGCATTTTGTGTAACCATGGTCTCACGTGTGTAATCAGTTGACTGATCCTTGTGTCTGCCCGGCCCCAGGTTTTTGCTGCATTCTTTAGAGGACTTGGATGCCAGCTTGCGCAAACTCAACTCCCGCTTGTTTGTCATAAGAGGCCAGCCTACGGATGTCTTCCCTCGTCTGTTTAAGGTACAAAAGATCGGACAGATAAGAAGATGCAGTTGTATGCTTTGCTTTGGTTTGCTGTGCTTTGAAATACATCCAAGTAAAAAGCAGCTAAAATACAAAGCAACATTTTGATAGTACTAAACTTATCTAAGGGCCTTTCAAATTGATTTCATAGAAATTAAACATTTTAATTTATCCTTCTTTGAAATCTCTTATGACTCGAGTTACATATCAAGTGACCTTACAATGTGGTCACGAACCCTAGTTTGGGTTCACTCAACTATTTTTGAAATTTGTTATTAATGATATTTAATGTCTGAGCTAAAGATTTTATTATAACACTGTGGTCTGTCAATCTTTTGCAAACATTTCTGTTCAGAGCAAAACAATAAATAACATATCTACACACCACTGTGCATGTGTATGTCACATTTTTCCATAGGAATGGCAGATCACGCATTTATCTTATGAATATGACTCTGAGCCTTTTGGCAAGGAACGCGATGCCACCATCCAAAAGCTAGCCAACAAGGCTGCGGTGGAGGTTATGGTGCAGATTTCACACACCCTCTACGATCTGGACAAGTGAGTGACTGTGCAGTATTAGTTGATTTGACCACCTGCTCTGTGTGTGTGTAGATTTTTGTTGATTCACTTTTATGTTACTTTCTTAAAGGATCATAGAACTTAACGGTGGTCAGACTCCTCGCACCTACAAGAGCTTTGAGGATCTCATCAACTGCATGGGTCCTGTGGATGTGCCTGCAGAGACGATCACATCTGAGGTCATTAAAAAATGTGCCATGCCCATTGGAGCAGACCATGATGTCAAGTTTGGGGTGCCCTCTCTGGAAGAGCTTGGTGAGTATTTTTTCACATAAATGTGTTTTTGTGTTGTATTAAGTGAGACACTTTTTTAAATCTCTGGTTCATTTTGCTTCGTCAGGATTTGAGACAGAGGGCCTGACCGCAGCAGTGTGGCCAGGTGGAGAAACAGAAGCTCTCATGAGACTAGAGCGGCATCTGGAGAGGAAGGTAAACAGACATTTTACTACACAGTATATACACAAAACAAGAAGTTAATGTGGGTAACATTATATCTGCTTTAGCTCACCAGTTCCCTTGCTCTAGTCATTGTCTCAATTTCTCACCAGTTGAATTTTCAATCCCACGCTACCTGCGTTCAGTGATGATTTAAACTCAGTATATATGAATATTGAGCACAAGCAGATTTGTCAGTCGAAATAAACCAAGATGCGACATGACTTTAAGAATTGATGTGACCAAAATCACATGTATAATTTCAGTGGCTTTATTTGAATTCAAGCTGACTGCTCCTCTTTTTTCAGGCATGGGTGGCAAACTCTGAGTATCCACGTATCAATGCAAACTCCCTGCTGGCCAGTCCCACAGGGCTCAGCCCCTACCTGCGCTTTGGTTGTCTCTCCTGTCGGCTATTCTACTTTAAACTCACAGATCTTTATAGGAAGGTACGAATGACCACCAGCCAGATGTGAACCATAATGAATATATGGAAAAATGTTTATTTTTGTGTAATGTGAAGGAGTCAAAACAGTCTACATTGCAGATGATAAACTTTATTTTGGATTGAGTTATCTTTATTTGCTCTATCCCATCAGGAGAAAGAGAACAGCAAGCCACCTCTTTGCTTTTATGGGCAACTGTTGTTGAGGGAGTTCTTCTATACAACTGCCACCAACAACCCCTGCTTTGACAAGATGGAGGGAAACCCTGCGTGTGTCCAGATCCCTTGGGACAGAAATCCAGAGGCGCTGGCCAAGTGGGCAGAGGGACGGACGGGCTTTCCCTGGATAGATGCTATTATGACCCAGCTAAGGCAGGAGGGGTGGATCCATCATTTGGCATGGCGTGCAGTGGCCTGCTTCCTCACAAGGGGAGACCTGTGGATCAGCTGGGAGGAAGGCATGAAGGTATGAACTGAGAAAATAGATCACTGCAGTCAATAAAAGAAGGATAAGTGAATGATGCTACCTGTCCTGATTCATGTCACTAGCATCCATTGTTTGAGCTGTCTGCTGTCACTGCCATGTACAGGTCTTTGAGGAGTTGCTGTTGGATGCAGATTGGAGTGTCAACGCTGGCAGCTGGATGTGGTTCTCGTGCAGTTCATTTTTTCAGCAATTTTTTCGCTGTTACTGCCCTGTGGGATTAGGACGACGCACAGACCCCAACGTCGAATACATACGGTCAGTCAGTCTTTCCAGCGTCTTTGATAAGTTCTGAGTATTTGTGTCCCCTGCAGGTACTGAAATGGTACAAAACAATATCCCATGGAAGGCTTGTGCTGCCTCACATGGGAATATAATTTGTCATGCATTAGTGTTGGGCGTTCTCTATTGTCAGATCAAATTATCGTTGCCCTGCAAAATTGTCCATTGCAGATACGATCCGGTAGGTAGGGGCCACGGAATGTGCTCACTAATCTGAACCCAGCTCTCATTCATCAGCTGTCTCTCAATCACAGCATGGCAAATTAATATTGATTTATTACACAACTAAAATTAATGATAAGTTAATATATAGCTCATCATCTAGAATTTACGTTTCCCAGTACATCAGCAAATTATTTGATATAATTTTAGATGTGTCTGTGAAATTTGTTGTAATCACATGCATCAACTGATGAACAGCATTTGAAATGGTGTGACCTTATTCTTGTTGGTGGAAGAAGAAGTGATTTCACACTAAATATTAATGATGGTTTAACACCCGCTCATCTAATAAGGCACTCGTGTACAATCGCAGACAAAGTTATCACACTTGATACATGAATATCGTGAATAACCTTTACATCATGTTCCTCCTCTTTACAAATTTGTCTTCATTCTTCTATTTATCGGTTTTCAGGCGTTACTTGCCCATATTGAGAGGCTTTCCAGCCAAATACATCTACGACCCCTGGAACGCCCCAGAGGAAGTGCAGAAAGCAGCCAAGTGTATCATAGGAGAGCACTACCCCAAGCCCATGGTGAACCATGCTGAAGCCAGCCGCATCAACATTGAGCGGATGAAGCAAATTTACCAGCAGCCTTCCTGCTATAGTGGACTGGGTAGGGACATGACTCAGATACTCAAACATTCATTTGAATGTTTTTTTAATATCTGGAATGCTGCTTGTATTTACACAGATGTGTCCAGTAGCATTTGTTTAAGAAAATAACCTTCAAAACCAACATGTTACTAGGGCTTTTTTGTTTAGAGTTTGCATGTGCTTTCTTTGCCTGTGAAGGTTTTCTGCCGGCACCAGCTAGTCTTTAAATTAGGCATAGATTGTGCAATTGTGAATGGTTACTTGTTTGTTTCTATATATGGTTATTAGTTTTCGATATATTGATCCGGTAATTAGAAGAATCAAAATTTAAGAGCTTGAGTAAATACAAATATGATTCAAATTTTAATTTCTTTAAGTCAGGGCCAGTATTTAGCAGTTGAAGCCTTTGTGTGTAAGTAAAGTCATATGGCACCAATCAGCAGCTTATGTTTAGTCTCAGGTTTATCAAAGCACTCATTGTGTTGAGCAACCAGAATTGGATAAATACACAGAACTGTTGCTATAGTATGTCACTTATCCATTAGCTTTGCTAAAAGTTCACTGATGTTCATGGTCATTGCAAAACATTCAAAATGTTCCCGATCTCCATATCGCTCCTGGACAAACGAAGCATTGTAACATCAAGTTAAAGAAGGAGTTATTCATCGTCATCATCGTCATTTTTACAGAGAAGTCTTGTCTTGCGTGTAAATTAAAATGCCATGTTTCCCTTGCAGGCCTTCTGGCAACAGTACCTGCCAATCCACACAATGGTGTAAGAAGCAGTAACACTGGGACCAGTCGAGGTCCGGGAGGGTCCGATGAACAACTGTACAATTTGGAGGGAACATCTCGAACAGGTACACAAACTAAATGGTCGACATTGTGGTTGAATAAAGTACATTTAAAATTGTACCAGTTGGAAGGATTGTTATTGACCTTTATCACAGAGTATAACCAAACTGTTATTCTTCCTGTTATTTCAAAATATATTAATACACCAAAATACATTGTTACACTGCAAATGACTCCATAAGTGCGTTTTGTCATCCTGTTGGACTTAATTGAGTTCAAAGTTTTTTTTATTTCATTCACAAATGAAAAAGATGAAACCAAATCAATTTGAAATAGTGTCATGACGTATTTTGTGTGTCATGTTTTAATGCAGGAAGAGGACAGTGGACACAGAAGCGCCGCAGTGAAGAGGCTCCATCTGGGAGCATCTCTAAATCCTGGAGGCAGAGTAAATAGACAATAGGCAAGAGATGGTATACAAAGGGCCCCTCTGTCTGTATGCTCTGGTAGCATTCGCTCCTGCTGTGCCCTTAGTTAACACAGTAACTGTAGCTAACAACCACGAAGGAGAACAAGGGGCGGGTGTTTGATGGAGCTGGTTTGTCTGAAGGACTCATTATAGTTGATAGCATTTGTTATCTTTGAAGATCATCACATGTTGGAGTGGACAATCAGATACAGTAAAACGCATCACACATCTCAGGAAAAGAGGAGGGAACTTAGAGAAATTAGTCATATTTGGCGGAAAGTTTGAAGTTTCGACATGAGTGTGTTGTGAGGTCAGCTGTTAGTGGAACACCTGGGAAACAGTCATTTTCCCATCACTCAAAAGATCTTTTTTTTTTTGCCCATGAAAATGACTTAAATATTTTCCTATTTTGCTTTACCTAAGAAAAAACTATGAGACTTTCTACCAGAGCTCCCCAAAATGGATAGCACCACCATTTAAAATAGTTATTCAGGTTATATTTGTATAAATGCAGCCATAGTAGTCATGACACATGGCAGCACACGCAGGTTAGAAAACAACTTAATTTGCTGAAAATCTGAATGTAAGATACATTATCCTTCGAGGTCAAACATTAGTCACTGCTGGCTGATCATGATGTGGTGATATAAGTGTTAAGTTGCTAATATTGACACGCTTAAGGTTTTGACTCTAGCTAGTGCCCCTCGGGTTAATAATGCTGTCTGACGGGTTTTTGACTCTATGAGAGTCACCGGCTAAATACTGGCAAACAAACCCTTTAAATTGTTTGTGTTACCATTGTAAAATGGAAAGCCTTCACATGAAATCATAAACTTCTGTTCATTGTCAGTGACAGTTAAATTTTAACCAAACTGATAATGATAAATTTAGGTGTGTTAAAGTTCAGTTTAGGTTTTTTGTCAGTAATAATTCTAGTTGAATCATAAATCATTTTCATTAAACTTAGTAATATTTTTCCCCTGGTCCTCCAGTGTCTCTTCCTCCAAGTGGCTCTATAGCCCCTTTTCCTCCGGGCAAAAAACCCACTAACATCTGGCTTCTGCCTGCGGTGGGAATACATTCAAGCAACATTTACTCCTGGGTCAAATCACGAAGGAGGGGGACCCAGTTTGAGAACCACTGCACTTAATCATGTTTGACCTCCACACCTCTTTGTAAAAATGTCAAGATCTGAAACCATTTTGATCAATGGAAATCAAAAGGTCGGTTAAGTAGAGCTGACATCTGCGTCCTTTGTTTGCACACCGACATTAGGATGAAACTAATATTGTACATTTTATACCTTGGACAAACAAAAATATGATTCAAATCTAGAGTATCTGTCACACCGTCGTGAATGTACATTATGTAATTTCGTTCAAATATTGAGGATACATAGGTTTGTTGTACAGCGGCTGAGACAATTAGAAGCACGACGGTCAGGCTTGGTAACACAAGCCTCACAAAGCCGTCACATATTTTGTAACTAATAATTGCTTTTGTATATTTGGTCATGGGAAATAATGTGTCACCAAAACTCAAAGGTCCTACCGTGAATGCATTTGCTTTTGTCTCCCATGTGATGGTAAATCTATTATGTTTCTATAAATACTCAACCAATTCTAACTCTGTTGATATAACAATACAAGACGCAAACTCAGCTGTATCTTTTTTGCCTTTTTGCACTGTGAAATCAAATGTTATTCCAGTAACTCTGAACAGAATTTTAGAAAACTTTCATGAATTTAGTTTCTTGGCAAATTTTACAAATTAAATAGTTTGTGTGTTGTTAAACATTTTGAAAGGAACAGTACCTCAGGGTCTCTCACTGCCACTCAACAGGTTGGGATGGTACCTCCCAATTACAAGGAGACGTTACATCTTAATTATTCTCAGTTGCTGATAAAGTTTTTCCATATCATTGAATATTATGTCACCGCTCATATATTATGCCAAGTGGAAAAACAAATGGATTCAATAACATGACGAGCCAAAATATCTGATGTCCCAGAGGTTTATTATAATATCACAGATCAGTGTCGCATTATAACATGAAATGTAATAAAAAGGTATTTTTCCACATAAGATAGTTTCACATTGTTACATTTGAACTTATTTTATAATGGAAAATGCTTCACTTTTGATGTGAAAACCTCCTATGTTGGTAAAACA